ATTCCATACCAAATTCAATTTTTTTCAAGAAAATACAAATTTTTGATAAAAATTTTACTTTCTACAAAATTTTGTTTTAAAAAAAATTTAGCTACAAAATTTATTTTTTTGTAAAATAAAACTTTTGATGCTTTATTTTGGTTAAAAAAAACATGCAGAAAAGATAAAAATAAAAAACGAAATTCAAAATTTTTCTAAAAAAAAATTTTTTTCAAAGAACGTTTCAAAAAAAAAAAATTTCAAAAAAATATTAAAATTTTTTTTTTTTCTAAAGGTTTATCAAACTTTTTTTTCAAAAGATTTAACACAAAAAATGTGTTTCAAAGAACGTCTCAAAAAAACATTTTTCTAAAGATTTTTCAAAAAAATTTCTTTTGAAAAAATTTATTTTTTGAAAATTTTAGCATTTTTTTTTCAAAGAACGTTTAAAAAAAAAATTCAAAAGAATTTTCAAAAAAATATTTAAAAAAAATTTTTTTCTAAAGGTTTATCAAACTATTTTTTTCAAAAAATTTAACACAAAAAATGTGTTTCAAAGAACGTTTCAAAAACATTTTTTTTCAAGATTTAAAAAATTTTTTTTTCAAAGAACGTCTCAAAAAACATTTCAATTCAATTCAAATCTCAATTCACAGATAAATGGTTATTTATATTTTATTTATTGAAACTTAAAAAAAGAGAAACCAATGTTGATCAGAGACAGTTAAAATAATGCTTTTGAAAAGGTCACTTTTTTTATTATATAACCCCAAATAAGGATTTCGGCAAACACACACACACACACCTGTTTACGCTACACTGCTGTAATCTACAGAGAAGTCGTCTGCTAGTGTGGAACTGAAGACAAAGGCCTCTTCGCAGTCACTCACATGCTCACTTTATCACTGTTGGGGTTGGCAGCAGTGTTCAACCATAATGAACGTCATGATGTCATCATGGGAATGTCTACATTGACACAACACACCAAGAATATCCATGAAAAACATAAGTGCATGTTTAGCAACAACAGAAACCAAAATATGATCAAGATTTTTTTTTGTTTGTTTGAAACCCTGATCAGGTCTAGCATTATGTACAAACATAATACAATAATTGACAGTTTATTCTTTGATTCAGACAAAAAACTATAATGATTTTGTTAATCATCAAACTGCATCAAACCTTAGACCTGAAGTCAGTAATTGGCTTAAATCTAATTCCTGTTGAACAAGGTGAACGTTCCTCACAGACCAAGAAGCAAAGAGCAGTTGTCAGCTTTTTGGTCCAGAAAAAAAGTCAAAATAAATCAACATAACCAATACATATATATATATATATAAAATTTAAAGTAGTAGTTTGACATGTGTGTGTTGTCATTTGCTCTGTAGTGTGAAATTAATGTGTTAGGGTGTTTCTGCTGTGGGAAGTACGGCAGCAGGAACACCGGAGGCAGCATAGTACAATGTGCAACTCCACAGACGACAACAGCCTAACAAATAGTTTCTTTTTGATGGGCAGGATGGTCTAGCCATCATTTTATTGATTTTTGTAAAACAACGTTTTATTTTATGTTTTATTTAAACAACATGTTTTTCTTTACTAATTTTGTTGTTGGGAATTTGGCCATTTTCTTTTTCTTTGCAACCTAAAGTGGTGAGTAAAAATGTCCCCTTTCCAAACAGGAGCCTGGTGCTCTGCAGTGAAAACATCTTCTTAGCTTTGATATGTTTTTTAGAAAACGTCTGTAGTGTTACAATAAGATGTCAGAAATACATTGTGTCATAAGTCAGTATATATTTTAACTATTAAATCTTGAGTTTTGGTCTGTTGCTCCATCTTGCTGCCATAAAGACAACAGCTACAGGTATGAGTCAGTAAATGAAGCGTGTTTGTACTCCTCAAAAACACAAATACATGTTTAAGATACAAGGGTCAGAAACCAATCGATTTTTTAAAAATGTAGCCGTCCGACTGAGCTACAGTTGAAGACTCTCATCGTTTGATTTTCTGTGGTTTGATTTTTATTGAAACACTGCAGGGAAAGTCGAACAACGCTCTCTGGATTGAATAATGACTGCAATGCCATTCTTTTACACTAGAGGGGGCTGGTTTTAAATCTTTTTACACGACAGATCTTAAGTGAAGGAGTACAAAGGTAAACTGAAAAATGCTTTGGACTGAAGACAGCCATGATATGATGTCAAAATTTGAATGAAAACAGAAAAACAAATATAAACTTGTGTATAAAAAAAAAGAAAATACTTGTCTCTTTCCACTTTATCTGCACAGAGACAGATCGTGTTGTCAGAGAAGAGGACGCCCTGGACCATCACTGTCGAACCTCCACGTAGTTGGCGGGGAAAAGGCCGTAGGCCCCTCGGCACACGCCGCGCCACCAGCCCTCATCGATCATCTCGATGTTGGTGATGATGTCACCAGGGTCAAAGGAGATCTCGTCGTCTCCGGCTGAAACAGGGAAATTAACTTTGAACAACACAGAAACCTCTATCACTAATTTACTGAATGACTATAAGGATTCAGAAAGTTGAAGTTTCAATAAAAATGTCACTGATGACTTTGTGTCTCACCTGCTTGGTAATCGTACAGCGCTTCTGCGATCAGTCCTAGGTCCTCACTGTACTCGTACTGCTGGTCATCTGCAGGCAAAGAACAGTTGTTGTCACACTTTGCACATGCTGACCTCGTGATAAATAAACTAGAGTTTCAGTGAGGCGATTTAGAGTAAATATCAACAGTAAAACTAAACGTATCCTCCAGCATACAGTACTCTTTTTTTCTGTTGTGTGTAAAAACATATCTGCCTGTCTCTCTGATGAGCTCTAATGGGTTAGCAATGTTAGTGATGGGTTTTTAAGAGGCCACTGAACCACGGAACAATAGTGACT